GTTTCCCAAGTGTGGTTGGTTATGCAGATCTACAAGTATTTAACAAAACTTAATTTTGTCTTCCAGGCCAGATTGTCAACCCTCTTGTCTTTCCTATAAAACACAAGCACTATTGCTAGTTTCTTGGGTTTTCATCTAGCACCTGAGGAGCTAATTTTAAATAAACAAATTGTATTTTTAAAACAATTTATGTTTTGAAGAAGTAATGCATTTACATGAGTTGAAAGCAGAATAAGGAAAGCAAGAGTATACAAAGTACTCAGGGAGATGTATTTCTCCTGTCTCTACTTAGTGCCCCTCTTTCTCCTCAGGTAAATGATACAACTAAGTTCATGGACATTCTTCTAAGCAAGCACAAAAACACATTATTCTCCTCCTCCTCAATTGTTTTTTTATTTTACACAAATGGAAGCAACCTATTTATATTGTTCTGCAGCTGTGCTTCTCTTTTAATAGCATATCTTGCTTATATGTCTATTTAAGAGAGAGTTTTCTTATTACTTTTTAAGCTACATGGTAGTCCATCATTTGGATGCTCCATAGTTTATTTAATCAGTGTTCTAATGATAGATACTTTTTGATCAAAGGTTAAATGGAAATAATAAATATACATAGTGAATATTTCAAAGTGTAAATTGAATTGCATTTATTATTGTTGCAATAATGCATGGTAACAATAAAAGTCATACAAGATTTGAATATGAAGAGGATAAAATAAAAATTCATGCTTCTTGCTCACAGGTTAAATCCGTGTATTGGGTTCAAGTTTGTTCCACATATCTCACTATTCTCAGAGCAGGAGCTACCCAGAACTACTGATGGATGACAGAAGCACAAGAGGCTAAGCTACTTACATCAAGTTCGCTAATACTCCTGTGGTCAAGCAAGTCACAAGACCAAACCTAATAAAATAGGAGCTACTCAAAGTCATAAGATAAAATGTGTGTAAAAGTGCAAATCTCCAATAGTGAGGATGCAAAGAATGGGGAACAATACCAACATACCACGTAATAAATAATGGAACTTAAATTTGCCTCTCATCACATACTGCTCACTACCTTCCCTTCCAAAAAAAAAAACACTATTGTCAATTTCTTGAGTATTTCCCTAGAAATATTTTTGTAATACAGGTCTGTGTATATAATTTCAGCAGATATTGCTATAATGCTCTGAAAAAATGGTTGGACTATTCCATACTCTAGCTACGTGTGAGTGAGAGTTTATTTCTTCACATACTTGCTAACAGTGTGTACTATCCAAAATTTATCCTTTGTCATTGTTTAGGTTGCAATTATTTATCAATCTATATATGCTCATTTGTATTTTTAAATCTGTAGTATCCATTTCCTTTGCCTATTTTTCTATTGAGTTGCTTTTTAAAATTGATTCATAAGGGTGCTTTATATATCTACAAAATACTTTGCTTGACATGTTACATTTTTTTCTCCCAGTGTATAGTGTCTCTTTTGATTTTGCTTATGGTGTTTTTTTTGTAGAAAGGTTTAATTTGTATGAAGTAAAACTTACTATTTGCTTTATGGTCCATGGTTTTGAGGTTTGCTTAGAAAGGTTTCTAAGGAGGTCTACTCCTTACAGTGCTGATTTGACAGTTCTGGGACATGGTTCCAAGAATCTTTAACAAGATGCTAAACAAGTAATTCTGGCCCTCATCCAGGTTTAGAACATGAATGAAATATAAACAAATATGTAAAGTACCAAGCAAGTAGTAAACACACAATAACTACTCATTCTCTGGTGTCTCTCATTACTATCCAAAGAGACAGCTTTGACGTTTGCCTTGGGCAGAGGAGAATAAAGTGAGGCTTTTTTGGGGGGAGGGGTGTATTTTTTCTGCAAAGTCACTTACCTCAGTTACTGAATTATGATAGATTTTTGGCATCACTAAATGGATATCAGCTATTTTTACCATGAATCAGTGTGGATCTATCAAATATCCAAGAGTTGGTGAATTCTATAAAGTTCCATTCTTTGTCTTATTAGGAAGGTGATGATACTGACCCTAACCTAGTGGATGATCTGAATTGATATATTTAGAAGTAGTGATTGAGTTGAATTAAACAAAGCCAACACTTTCACCTTTTTCTTTCATGTAACCAAGGAAATTTGGGCTAAGAGGCCATATGTAGGTAGGGGAGTGAACCATAATTTGGTAATAGTCCTTGGTTGTAAAATATATTGGACCTGAATAACCTAAGCATATATAACCCTGGTCTTGTTCTTAGGTGCTTATCATATGACAATATCTCATTAGTTCCTTGGGTAATTATACTCACTTCCTCTTGTCCTTTCCTGGGATGGGCAGAAATCAAAGATTTTCTTGAAAGTATTTCTCAAATGTTAATGTGCATGCAAAATTACTCCTTAATTACTTGTTAAAGGGCAGATTCTGATTCAGGAGGACTGGAAGTCATGCCTAACAAGCATGTCTAACAAGCTTGCAGGTGATGCCCCAGTGCTGCTGGTCAATGGACAAACTTTTAGGCAAAAGGAACTAGGGCATACAGTTTTACCAAATTCTTTCTGAAAGATCATTTGATGCATTCCTCATTTTCTTGACATTGTATTTCTTTTGGGGTGCTAATCCTCACACCCCCAGATCCTTTTAGATCACATCATTTAACCATGAACAAGACTTGTAGAACTGGACAAATAGCCTTCTCCGATGGGTTTTCCCCCACTCAGAGAAAAACCACTGATCTGCCATAGTCCCTTAAATCCCAAATTTTGGAAAGACTCGTTAAAGTGGCTGGTGAAAGGTGATGTTATCCAGGAGAGTAAGCTTAGCTAGAGTAGTTGGGCATTAATCAGATTGGAACACCAACCACGGTCAGCAAAGACAGTATGGAAAGAATGGTGAAGTGCATGGTAGAGTAAGTTCTGCTAGGGTCAGAGGTGTTAAACGATACATAAAAAGGCACTCGTTGTTGTGGGGAGCAACTGAGACTAGGCTAAGTTACTGGAATTAAGACTTATTCTATGCATCTGCTCTCCCACAATATGGCGCTGGGAGAGGAGGAAACAGCTTCTACACAGCTGCCTCCAGTTCAACCAATAAACAGCAGGACCTGCTCCTGATTGGAGGAGAGCAGCGTACTCGGCATGTGGGTAGCAGAGTTGGGATTGGTGGAAGAGGACTATAAAGGAGGAGAGAGACAACATGCACCAGGAACATCTATGAGGAACACCTGAGCAGCCCCCGAGAGAGCCGGCTGGTGGTGTGCCGCTCCCCCGTGGAAGTGGGGAAAGTGGCAGGGGGAACCGCCCTTCCACGGAGGTGGAAGGGTCGGTAGCCAACCCGGGAAGAACCAGCAGCAAACCCGGGGAGGGCCGAGCAGACAAAAGAACAGCGCAGGGTCCTGTGTCGTTCCTCCACGAAGACGGGGAGCTACACGTTGTTAGAGTGAAGTTGAGTCAAATCAGATGCTGAAGGATGATGAAAGAAGGAACCAACAGACAGGAAGAGGTTTGTTGTTGTAAATGAATTGTCTATTTTACTTGCCTAGAGTATTGTTGGCTAGGATATTCAATGGGCTCCCCTTCTCCAGAATGCTCTTTAACAACACTCTCATATGAGTAAGGTGGCCTCATCCTCTGGTCAAATGGCTTCACCCAAAACAACTTAGGTGCTCAGCTAAGGCCCAGGGCCTGAAGGATGATGCCATCCTAGTGGCCAGACTGGACAGTGCCAGGAACTCCATGTGTACAAACAACAAAAACCTGGGAGGGTAACTTAGTATTGGTTTCCCTCAAAAGGATTTTTCCTTTTACAGCTGACGGACCTAAGACCTCTCTGGATCTCCTGGCTTAATTCTAATTGCAGAAGGAATTTACCAGGACGGGGGTGGGGTGGGGCGAGGCTTTTATTTATTTTTGACGGGGAGGGGCGGGAATTTGATGGGTGGAATGGTTCATAAGTGAAAAAGAGTGTGTCAACTTGGCAAGAGTGGCAAGGGAGTGTGACTTTAATCACGCACAGGTTCAGGTCTTAAAAGTTGAATGGACGTGCTCGCTTCGGCAGCACATATACTAAAAAAAAAAAAGCTGAATGGATGGCGGGCTGAGACCAAGCGGCCAAGAGGAGGGGTGGAAACGCAGGGATGTGTGCTGCGCATCACAAACAAGGCGCTGGAATGCTCCCTTCAGGTGCCTGTCTCAGTTTCTTGCTCGCTCTCTGTGGATAATGCGGAGCGATGGAGCAGCCTCGGAGAACAGCTGGAGAAAGCTCGGAGAAAGACAAATTAATAGGAGCCCAGCGTAGCAGCAAATGTTGGCGCACAGTGTTCAGCTGACCCGTTAAATGAGCAATCCTGTTAAGTGTGTTAATCAGCCCCAAGCCTGAGAGCCGGAGGAACGCTCCGGGAGGTACCTGGCTGGCAAAGAAAGGATACTTTGCATTGCTGCGATTGAGATCCTGCAGGTTCCTGGGTATTAGGCCCTCTCCTCGTCCCTTTTAAAGACGGGGATTTTCTAGGCTGCATGACATTGGACCAGCAAGTGATTAGGAGCATGCCTGGGTAAACAGCAGAATGGGGCCCCAGGACCCTACCTGTCTGCCTGCCCTGTGATTGGTGGAGCTGAAGAACCCTGAGTCTCGAGGCTCTTTTTCGGGAGAGGGGTGGAAAAATGGAATTCTCCCCGGTACTGGGAAGCTCATATTGTAAGTAAAACTAGGTGCCCCGCATCTAAAAACATTAAGTTCTTATGTGCGGGGAGCCAAGCGGGTGAACTTCTGGGTAAACCACAAGTCTATTTCCTGTTCAGTCTCTGGAGCTGCGGAACAGGAGAAATGAACTTTGCTTAGGGTTTTCCACACCTGCGTTCAGTTCAGTTGAACACTGGCCCCCAACGCTGTATGCCGGCCTATTCTAGTGCGGACGCTAGACGGCGCTGCCAGGACGCGCTTTCTTTCTCCGGGGAAAGGTAAGAGAAGTGGCGTGTTTTTTTTTTTTTTTTTCTTTCTGTAACCGGGGAATGGGGGACTTGGGGTTGGCAGCCTTGCCCACTCTCCTCACTCTGCCTCCCCTCTCCGCCTCCCCAAATCCAAAGGGGTGTGGAAGAGGAGGAGCAGAAGCCGCTCTTTTCCGTGACGCGCCAGAGCAGTTCTAATTCCCACCTCCTCCCCGGTGGAATCAATCAGCCAGGAGGCATCAAACTGTTAGCGACGAAGACGCAGCTCTTGGTACTTCCACTCCCCTGCCACCCCCATCCTAGGCGTATTTTGGAGGCGGCAGTAGCGCTGGCAGGATGTGAGGCGACCTGGAGCGCACCTCCCAGGCGCCGCTCTCCTTTCAGTGCTAGCAGGAACGTGTGGTCTTTTTGCGCACTGGGCTCCCAGGCAAGGCTGGAGCACCGAACAGAGAGGTGGGTTGGCAGAGTTCGCACTCGCATCCGGCTCAGCAGTCAGGTCGAGAGGGTACCTAGGGGGTCTGCTTCCTGGTGGTGCAAGAGCCGCAGCTTGAGGTGCCCGCGTTCTGGCTTGCACCGCTTGGCCCAGGCAAGGTGCGGCAGGAACAACGCTGCTCTGAAGAGAAGTCGCTGGCAAGGAAGAGGCTGGGAGGCGGGCGACCTAAGAGTCGAGGTACTCTGCTGAGAGGCTGCACCTGCCATTCTAACTAGGGCTGGAATGATTTAAGAACCTCCCTTCCAGCTGCCCCGAAAGTCCGCAGAAGCTCCGCTGAACTCTAGAAATCGGCCCCGGGCCGGAAGTTTCCCGACATCCTCTGGCCAGGACAGGGAGCAGAGAAAACGGGCGGGGCTGCCGGGTCTTCTGCCGGGATAGACCTGGGCTTCCCTACGCCTCCTGCCGCGCCGCTAGTCTTCGGGCAGCGTTTCTGACCACCCAGGAAGTCCGAGCCCGCGCTCTCCAGAACCCGGCTCGCCATCTCGCCTTGGACATGGAACTACACGCCTGAGACTCGCTGGACTGTGCTGGCTGTTTTGCAAGGCTCAGGTAATGCCTGCTGGCAAAACGAAACAGTTGGCTGGCCAGAGCCAGGGCGGGAGGGAGAGGGGGAGAGGACGCGCTGCGCTCTCAGGTGGCCGCAGGGAGCAGGCAGGCCGTGGCCAACTGAGGCTCTAGTGCTCCTGAAGCCTGGGTCCCAACGCCTGCAAACTTGCGCGCTTGCGTTCTCTTTCTTCAGCTTTCCCAGAAAGTTTAAGGTTCAGAGCTCCCAAGACTAGGGGTTCCTTACCTGCAGGAGCGTGCGCCATGGGTCAGGTGTGGAGGAGCCGGTGGGTCGCATTTGCGCGGCGGGATCTTTGGGGGTGTCTGCAGTGGCGCGCGAGCTCTGCAGCCTGGAAGGCAATTTCTCGCTGGGCGCTTCTGACTGTCCACATTTCTGCCCGTGGCGGAGGGAGTAATTGGCGCGGAGAATGGGGCTCCTGGGCGGAGCAGCAGGGGGTTCTCCAGCATTGCGCTCGGGTTCCTCGGGATTTCCACCTAGGGTGAGGTGGGAGTGGAGTGGAGGGGAGTGTTGGCGATCTGGGACCATCTTTGCCTAACGGCACTCTCCCGCGGACCCTGAGCCGCTTTCTCTCCTCTTCCTGCAAGAATTTCCGCTGCCCCTTGAGCGAGTTCCCGGGTTGAGTGAAGCTCTCCTCACCTTCGCTCAGGGGTGTGAGGACTGACTGAAGCCGAGTTGCGCTTCAGACTTTTTGTGAGGGAACCCCAAAGTGAGAGAGTGGGGAAGAGTGATGTGTGTTTCTGTGGTCTAATTCTGCCTCAGGTGTTTCCGCTGATCCCTCGCCCCGTTTTAGGGACTTAACAGGAGGCATTAGTAAACAAGCAGGTTTTCTCCATTCCACCCACGAAAGTTCTGACTGGGCTAAAGTGTTGGAAAAGTACTTCTCGGCTGAAAGTTACTTTGCAGCCTTGCGCGGGTATTTTTAGTTTTTGGAGTGTGGTATCTTTTTGGGCATAGTTTAGTCCTGAATTGGACACTTTTCTACCACCACTACATTCAATCTCGTGTAGACGTCCAAGTGAACTTTTCCTTTACTTCTTGGCCAAGGGGACCACGTGTAGACCATTAAACGCGCGGCATAGCTGAGGGCAGACCAAACAGAATTAGCAGGGTGGTAGGAAAGAATGTGTCCCTGAGGCCTTGCAAGTTCAGCGGGCATCCCACATCAGGAAGACTATCAGTTACAGGGTTCCTGGGAAGGAAGGTGTTAAGTGTTCCGGACAAGAATGGGGGGGGGGCATTTTTCCACTGACACACCACCTCCCACTTCCCCACGGTGGCATGCGTTGTCCCTGAGGAGTTGGGGGTCCTTGTGCCCATGCATGCTGCACCATTGTGCTCTTTGCCACCAGGGTCGCTTGAGCTTCCACCTCTTGGCTGCCACTCCGAGGCGTTCCTCTCCGTTTCTTCTGATAGTATTTGGGCAACTGCCCTGAGACCCAGGGATAGTGAAGTTCCCAGGTGTTCCAGAGCCCGGGCTTCAGCGGAAGCTTACTTCAGCTCCTTCCAGCCTTTCTACCCCCTCTCCAGCACGGAGTAATCGAGCCACTGCAGTGGCACCACAGGGCGCTGGATCCCTTGCTCTGGCTCCAGCTCTAAGCCGCCCCATCACCGTGTGAGCGCTCCAATTGCCGGTTGCCCTAAGGCTAGACAGTCCGCAATTATGCACGGAAGCAGTTGATTTAAATAGAAAGCATTTAAATCTGGGTAAAAGATTGTGGCATCAAAGGCTCCTGGCTTCACTGCCCTAGCTACAGCTCGTGGGAAGGAGGGACAATTGGCCAAGAAATCTGCCTTGGTGACAGCAAGCCTTGACCTCTTTTGTTTTTGCCTGGTAGGTCAAAGCCAGGCCTTTTTCTGCAATAGCATTGGGAACTTAAATCCAGCTTTGTGGTATAACCTCTGCTACCCTCTTTAATTTCTAGCCAGTCTTAACTCAGGTTGAGCAACGGGGTCCTATTTCTCTTTCTGTGGGGCTCTTGCTAGAAACTCTGCAGAAACTAAAGGTTCTGCTCAGAGGTTGGGGACTTTGGGATGCTCCCAGACTGTGTTTTTTTACAGGCAAGAATCAAGCCTCAGTCTTGACTTACCCATTCATTTCCTGAGACACAGTTCCTTAGTTGAGTAGGACATTCTTATTTGTCCATTGCTGGTAATAGAGTGAATACGGGGCTCTGCTGCTTACCAGGGTGAGCTGATGGTGTGCCGGCATGAGGAGCAATCTGAATTAGCCATCTGGAAAATGTCTCCACAGGTGCAAGGCTCAATGAAGTTTTATTTAGCTGTAAGAACACATACTCTAAAGAACCTGGCTATATAAAAGACATGAGTTAGGAAAGGACTACTGCATTTTTAAGACAATAAATGAATCTTAATTCATCAAATATGTTGGCTTGTAGACTTCATTGAAATGGGTCTTTGAAAAAACATTTGCTATTTGTGAAGAAGGGGAAAAGCTGGGAAAGCAAAATGAGTTAAAATATGGTTGAAATAATCATACACTTTAATTAAACTGAATTGTGTGATGGCCTGAGTAGATTCTCTGACAGATTGTGGCAGTATGATGAAACTTAGAGGAAGCGCCATTTCTCCCTTGAATTTGGATATTTCTGTACCGTGGCAGCCATGATCACAGCTGGGACTGCTGGAAGAATACACTGCTTTCTTCATCTGAGATGTACCATAAGCTCCTTGGTGAAAATGCACTGTAATCAAGTGGAAGAGATAACAAATCCAAAGTTGGAGCTATTCAGTAAAATATGAAAGAAAAATCGCTGCCAAACCTTGAGGTGTGGGCAAGCAGGGATTTTTCAGGGCTGATTCTAGCTATACCCAGTAGCTCATACCCTTTATTTAAACCCTGATGTTGGTCATTTGAGCCTAGGTCGACGAGAAGGGTGATTAGAGCAAATTTGGAAAGAGATAAATATTGAAGCTGTAATATGTTTTCCGGAGCTGGGACTTGAAAATATGCCTGTTATTATGTTGACACTCTGAGCTATCAGGGGCAAGGAATTTACCAAAGTAAAACAGTGTAAGGCCTGATGTGAAGATGTTTTGCATGGCTCCATCTGGCCCAAGCCACCACTTGGGCTGGTTCACATTGACCTGGCTCCTAATGACAACAGAAGCACTGGAGTGAGTCCATTGTGAGCCAATTTCTTTCCAGCTTCCCCTGCCATAGACAGGGCTTCAAATCTTGGGTTAAACAATCTAAATCTGTGTTCTCTGGGCTACAGAGCCCAACATTAGGCTGCCCCTTCCTTACTGTATTTTTACCTTTAAAGCACACACCTTCAAGTAGCTACACCTTGGCTTCTCTCCTGAATTCCAAAATGTTTTACCTGCTTTGCTTTATTCCTCTACCTTGGTGTTCTATTGGCATATAAAATATACTCAAATGCTAATTCAGTGTTTTCCCTCAAGCAAACTTTTGTCTTTGTTTCTTTTTATTTTTGATTGACACATTTGTAATTGTACATATTTATAAGATGTGTTTCCATATGTGTCTTGTGTAGTGCTAAATCGCAGGACTTCTTACCTTGTTTATCTGTGACTCCCTTCTGTCTCATTCATTCCTGCCTCTTGCAGCCTGTCATTTATTAATTGCTTTGATTCTTGTCTCTGGAATGGGTTTTGTTCCTTTACATTCCTACTGTCACCACCTGCAATCAGATCTTGGATTCGTCACTTTGACCTGCAGGAAATGCCTCTTCTACCCTCTTTGGTCTGATCTCCAATTCAATATATACTGCATATGAAGACCAATCTTCCTGGAGTCCATTTAGTTCTTCACTTAAAAGTGTTAAATACCTAGTGAGTGGATGTTAAGTGGTATGGATTGTTATTGAATTTGAAATTTCTAGCAATTTGAGTTGCCTGATACATTTAAATAGGTTGCATTGTAACCCTAAGAATTTCTCCACCATTTCAGGTGTTTACATAGCATGGACTTGCATTTGGCCAGGAGCTCAAGCATGAGATTTGAGAGATTGGACTACATGATGTGTCAGTACTGTAAACCCAGAAAGCCCATATCATCCCTTCAACATCCAAGGACCTGAGTAGTGTGTTTCCTACCAGTTTGCCTGCTGAAACTGTATCTTTTAAAAATAAGTATTGCATTTTCAGAGTCCTGTTTCTTACAGTCTGTTTCTATGCCTGAATGGGTTTTTGTTGTTCTGGCTCATTTGGGTGTGTGTCACAATTGGAAATATCTAGACCTTTAAGAATTTTTAACATGCTGTGCTTGCCTTGTACTTTGTTAAATGTTTTTTCCTTCTTACCATGCTTAATAGTTATAATAATCTTGAGATGGGTGCTCTTTCCAAGCTAGGAAACTATTTTATTGATCCCACAAACCTAGTATTGCTCTGGGGTTCTGAACTCAGATGATGCTAGTCTTCAGTGACTTTGTTCTCTCCTCACTAGCTCTAATGTCAAGTGTAGGTTCTTTAGCTAGAACTCTCGGGCTCTGAAAGTTATATTTAGCATTAGCCTAGCTAGTAAGCCTTGTTTCTCACTGCCTTCCTACTCACATAATCTAGACAGAGCTGACCACTCACTGTTATCTAACATAACCTTTGTCATTCAGCTTTTGTGCCTTTGCCATCCTTTTATCATGAGTATTTTCCTCTTCTCCCTATCACATTTCTATTTCTCTGCCTATTGACAATGAACCATGTTGAAGAAGCAGCTTAAGCAGCTGGCTTGGTGGTGCAGTGAATTAAGCTGCTGCCTGCCATGCCAGCATCCCATATGGGAACTGGTTTGAGTCCCAGATGCTCCATTTTTGATTCAGCTTCCTGCTAATGCACCTGAGAAAGCAGAAGATGATTCAAGTGCTAGGGTCCCTGCCACCTACATGGGAGACCCAGATGGAGTTCCTGGCTCCTGGCTTCAGCCTGGCCCAGCCCTGGCTGTTTTTGGCGAGTGAATCACCAGATGGAAGATATCTCTTTGGCCATGTCTCCTCTCTCTGTACTGC